AAAAAAACCCACAGAAATGAACACCACCCATTTAGAGTGATTTCAGCTCCATCCTCCTTACCTCGTGTCCCAGCAGCGGCCGGGCCTCAAGAACTTTCTTGGCCTTGTTTTCCTCTTTGACAGGAAGAAGAGACTTGAGGAATTTAGGAGGTTGTGGGGAGAGGACTTTAAAGGGGCTGGCAATAAAAAAGGTCGAACTGTCTGGAACCAACCCTGTATGGGAACATTCGGTGTTAACTCTAAGTCAGAACGGAACGCTTCCACACACGTGCTTTTTCTGAGGTTACCTGAACTCTCCTTTTTAATGGGTGTGGTACAAAGGGAGCCGTCCTGTGGATTACAGTTGGTGCTGTCCACACGGTCACAGTGATCCTGTGATTACAGTCACAACAGACCACAGTCATCACACAAATGTACTCTTGCATGACAGTTACAGAAAACGTTGAACAAGAAGCCCGACGCACCTTACAGTCTTCATCTTCACAACCAGTCAGGTCTGTTTTACTACATAAAGACTGGAGAACAAGAAATAGGACAGTAAAATTATGTGTATAATTTTATAGTCAAGTTATTTCCATATGGCCAGCAGGACATGCAGTGAGTGATTTCTTTAATTACTTGCTGTACATTTGGTGTGCTGATACTCCTCCTTAAGTGTCTCCCCTTGGCAGCGAGTGCTTCCTTCACTGTCACAGCCTGCAGAGACCATTAAACAAAGGCAAGTTTATCTCTATACATCATCCCTAAATAATTAATGATTATGATGTACACTAAATTACATTTTTTACTAAATTAGATTGTGTTACTGCGTAGGTTACCTGTCGTAGCCTCTCCAGGCTAAGGATGTTCTCCACCTCCAGAACTCCCCGGGTGTATTTTTCTATGTAAGTTTCTCCATCCTGAGTCTCCTCGCTGTCCCCACGAGCAGCCATGAGAGCCAAGGTTTCCCTCTCCTCTGGCTCCTCCGAAGCCTGGAAGAAAAAAAAGGAAGGAAGCTTAGAAAGAGAAGTTAAACTCCAAACACTGATAAAACAGAAGCAGAGTTTCCAACATACCTTTGGTATGTTGGAAACTATCTCATAAGTCACACTGCAGGAGTAAAGCATGTTCTTTAGCGACATTCTTCTCTTGAGGCTCTGAGTGAAACTCTGTAAGAAAAAAAATATTCAAATTATGTTGATCATTAAAACATGACAGGCATCTGTAAGCCTAATATGTTCTTTGGGCTAACCTCCTTTGGTTACATCTAGAGTTTCAAGTATTAACCTGTTTGTTGTAGATGTTGACAGCAATCCTCTTGCGGAGCACCAGCTCCATGGAGGCAGGGTGGCTGAGCTGCACCGTGGCTTTAATGATCAGGTAGATGCGTTCATTTGGCGACGTGACCCGGTTGAGGTGAACAGAATCATGAATGGATGAATCCCAGGAGCACACTGCTGACACCTAATGAAATTTCAAACTTGTGTTTAATTTATTTAATTTCACATTTATCTACAGAAAGAATGTGTGGCAGTGGTTTTGTGACAGCACAGGGAGACACATGGATTACGATGGCATACGTGGACCGTAGCTCTGGGTTTGTCTAATTACCATTTAGACAGCATTTAGCGCAACGATTACTGTAGGGTTAGTCCTGCTCAACATCACACAAAAAGGAATAAAGATTAATTTCATTTAATTACTTCCTACCACACATGCTGCAACCCATCCAATTAGGCACACATGATTGTAGGAAAAAAGTTGCCCTAAAACCCTTTTATGTGTCAATTTGTGCAATTATGTGAGGAGAAAAACTTTATAGCAGCAATTTAGCAAATGAAGATAATTTAACATGGAGCCATAGTAAAACCAAAGACACACAAATGTATATGTTTAACAAAAATACTCTACAGAGTTGACTTACTTACAGTACATTCATTACACTATTGGATATCTGTGAGCTTCTCTAAGTAAGTAAAGGGAAAAGGCAAAAGAAAAATAATGCATCATTATTATTATTATTTTTATTTTTTGGCAGTTTTGGGCCTCCATAGAGTCTCAGAGTTGCCAAGAGAAACCAAATTGGAAACACTTTAATCTTTTTTTTTGTCTATGATTCAACTCAATTCAATTAAAAAATAATAATGTTAAAGTATTTTTGACCAGGAGAGGGCAGTAAAGTAACCGTTGTTACTTACCTCCTCATCACTGTGCCTAATGATAGGTAGATAGAAGAACTGGCTGCCGTGCTCTTTGGGCAGTATAGAGTTAACGCCTGCAGCATGTGGGCCGGTCAGCTGCTCGTTCACTGTCAGATTATCCGCTGGTGGCGTACAAAAAGAAGGCCGTTTGCATTTGTGAAGCCAGCGAGGAGTCTGTGAAGTAAAGTATGTGTCTGCCTTACCATTTAAATCCAGGAAGAGTACAGGAATGTGAGCTTCCATTCCTGCAGGTGGAGTCCTACGAGCAGTTGAACAACAGGGTATTGGTTCAAAAATAAAATTAAATAAAAGGCAACAAGAAGTTTTCATTTCTGAATGTTTTGTTTTGCTTGTTTTCACCAGTCTGCAGGAGCTCCCGGGATGCCACTACCAGGTGCAGGTACCAGCACTGCATTTCTCTCTTCAGTCAGCCCGACCCACTGCTCCACCAGCCGAGCTTCACGCTCAATGTCCTCCTCTGACTTCTCTACATGCAGTGAGAAGGATAGAAGTTAAAAAAGAAATGTTTAAAAAAAATGAGCAATCTTGTGATCAGGGCCTAAAACCCACCCTGTTTGTTGATGATTTTCTTGATTTGTTCGTCAAGATACTCCCGACGTTTGATTAGTGCATCTGACCAGCGCTCTCTAACACAGTTGAGATCCTCTTCCTGGAACCAAACAAAGAGCTGAATTAATGCCAGCTGGCTCAGTGAAGCAAAGGTTCTGCTACAGGGCAGAGTGAATTGTTACCAGTGGATGATGAGCGTGCACTGGGCTGATTTCTCTGAGGGAATACTGTAACTACTCCCAAACACCCCCAGCTAATACTTTGGAAAAGTAACAGCTTTACCAAACCCAAGATGTTAAAAAGTAAAAGTCTTAAGCTCTCCAATTCTGGCTATAAAACAAATGTGATTTCACTAAATAAACACATACACAAAAGCTCTCCTTATCCCCCTTTTGCAATCGCACTCATCATTCACACTCGTTTGCATGCACCTCCTCGCACGCAGCCAAAGGTCCCCAAAGTCCTACCTGAATACATGGGAAGTATTTCTCTGACAGAGCAGCAGAGAGTAGATTCCCCTCTGCAACATCCCCAATCCCCAAAATACCTCAGAGCCAATCATGTTACGCTTCTGCAATCAGCACACTCTCACAATGCAAAGTACTGTAAATCATGCAGCCATGCAATGCCCAAGTGATTAATTGAGGCGTATTACTTCTGCAGCTCCTCAGTAGTGACAAGCAAACAGTAGCATTAGTGCGCAAAACCTGAGGGGAAAGGCAAGAGAAGGCGGGACAAGATTCTGGCAGACATGCTGCTCCCGGAAGCTCAGGGTGAACCTGTAATTTGTTCGTTTTTATTCTAGGAGATGCCAAAGAGTTGTTGGTGCGACTGGTAATCACAACACATCAGAATACATCCACGTGTGCAGCTGAGGCAGATGCTGTTTAATAAAGCGCTTCTTTAGTCGGCAGGGACCTCCTGCCTCTCATGCCCTCAGCACAAGGCCTAGTCACAAACACGTGATCACATCGGTTGGTGTCCTTCATGCTGCAGTGTGAACTAAAGGGTGAGCAGCAGCAGCAGGAGACTCGAAGGGTACCTGATAACTATCCATATCGTCTTCCACCTCTCTCTGGCAGGAGAGAACACACTGAGTCAGATGTGGAGAAGCAGTAAAGGCCTTCACTTGACACGTCAGATGAAACCAGTTGTTTCCCATCTAGCTTACTGTGAATTTCAGTGACGTTTACATCCATGCTCACATACTTTTTTGAGTAAATAGTTATATTTATAACAAGAATTGTCAATTTCATAGTTAATTTGAAAAAAAAAAAAAAGGATTCTGTGACTACTGAATTAACAAGCAGCCCCTTTCTATACCCCACAACAGAACTGCGACACTAACAAGTCTTTATTTTCTTGACCAACTCTATGCTGGCTGCCAGCTACCAGGATGGACCAGTCTAGGCATGCAAGCTGAGAAAGACTAAACATAGTTTGGCTGAATTGGTGTAATATTGTGTCTTTGTGGTATGAAACAAGTAGAATGTTCCCCAGAACATCTTCCTGTTTTGATACAGAAACACCTAAAGACAAATTACCATCCTAATGAAGCCAGCACAATAGGCTCATAGTCAAAGTCCATTTGTGTGTATGTGGAAAAACGCAAACATGTGCATTTTGCAGACCTGGTAGCTGTCGAGTGGTCTCTGTAGTTTGGTGGAGCGAGCCGACACACACCCAATAGAGACAGACAGAACAGCCTCCACCAGCAAGGGCAGAGTGCCTGAGTTCTGGACCGGTTTCACAGACACCTGCAGTCTCCTGGAGTGACCCTGTTTGAAAGAAATCATAATCACATAATTAATTTTTATCCTCTTAAATGTGTGTTTAGTCTAAAGCAGCCAGCCCGACCTGAAGGAAACCTCCTTCATAGTTTTTCTCTGACCTGTCGGAGTTGGAAGACTCCTCCTGTGCTGATGTCTTTCCCAGGTTGCAGCTCCACAGATGCATACTCTCCCTGCTCATTAAGCTCTTGGATGGCGATCCACAGCTCGATCCGGCGAGACACATCGCTCCACCTTGAACATGTAACAGCTGGGATTAGAATCAATTTTATAGAAGTGCAAAAATGTCAGTGCAACATGTGATGCATCCGACCTGTCCCGGAGCGTCTGGGTCTTGGCTTCCAGTGCATCCAACTCCCAGAGAGAACGACCATTCCCAGCACAGCGATGACCCCACACTTCTATGGCCAGCGCTCCATCTGATATAAACTCTAAAAACTCATCTGTCACGTGCACAACGTAGTCCTGGGAAAAGAGTTTGGGGTAGAGAAGATGAAAGTTACTAACAAAAGTTGCAAGAATGTAAAATGTCTCCGAAACAAGGCATTAAAAAAAACCTCGAATGAAACAACAAGCAGCTCATTTTTCCAACCTTGCAGTGATCAAACTGGACCGTGAACTGAGCATCTGGGCTTCGAGGGGATGGTCTATCTGGGCTGACCATGGGAGGAGCCACAGTGGGCTCACCATGCTCCCAGAACATGTACTGACAGAAGACAAAGTTGGACAGGTTGAGCGGCAGTCCTGTGGCATCCCTGATCCGCACCTACAGCAGCGAAGACAGGATGAAGATTGAAGACTTTGATGTTTTTTTAGACCTGAAATCTCGCCGTGCACCGCCTGCACAGATCCGTTTTGAAATCTTTGGTTAAAATCCACTGATGGTTCACTCGTACCCTGCAGGTGAGCCTTTTGGCCATGTGGACGATCTCTCCGTTGGTGTCCATGACCTCGTAGCAACTATTTTCACTGGAGTTCTCCGAAGAGTCGTCCCCGCTACACAGGCGCTCCGGTACAGCTCCACTCACTCGCATCAGCTCAACGTGCAGCCTGCCTGCTACCTGTACATACAAGCAGAAGGAGTGGGACAAAACCTAAACCGTTTGAGAACTAATCCATGTATCCAGAGAAAATTGGCCATTTTTTATTCATTTTAACCAGTATGCTGATTTTTGTTGGTCTATATCTTTTCATATGGACATAAAAGTACTGTGAATTATGAAAAGCTTTTAAATATATAAGGACTAAAAGAATAAGACTAATTGTACTAACAGCCCACATGAGAAGTGTGTGATCTAGTACCATATCTTCATTTTATTAAGCATTAACTAGTAAAATAATAAAAATCAGGGCTTCAAAAGGGGAATTCACGAACACAATGACTGACATCACAGACAGCAAGTCTACAGTGTGCCCTTACCTCTCCCTGCTGGCTGATGATGGGGACAGCATACTGCAGCTTGACATCATGGAAAAGGCACTCGAGAAAAATGTTGGCCACCCCAATCAGGTTGTGGTTCTCTTGCGCCTCGTAGAAAGGATCACAGTGCTTACTGCTTGCTTTGTTATACTATACAAAGGAAAACAAAAGAACATACTTTTAATTACTTTCCCGCTTCCTTACTCATTTTTTCCTGTCTCTGGTCCTTTGTTACTCACCGTTTCCTCTGTGCCCTCTTTCCAGTCTCTGTAGTGGTCTCTCATGTCTACAAGTTTGTTCTCCAGCTTTTCAATGGTCCAAACCTGGGTCCCCTTCCCTTTCCTCCGCACCTGAATGGCTGGCTCGCTCACGATAGCGCCACGCTACATTAAAGTGTCACATTTTAGATCAGATTACAAGATATTCACATCCTCCCTAACCCTAAGCTTAACCGACCAAAACACTGAAATAACCGAATGAAGTGTAATCGTTTCAAAAAGGTTCAGCAGACTGACCTTACGGTTGGCGCTGAGGTTGGCTGCGGGAATCTGAAGGGTGACCTGATAATCGGTGAGTTTGTTCATCTCCTCTGCCAAAAAGTTGGCTTCTCGCACCAAAGTGTTGGCTTTGACAACCTGCTCTCTGAGTCGGGAAAGGCTCTGGCGAAAAAGCTCATCCCTGTCACAAAGAAACAAATACACAGAGACACATTTTATAGAGTTTGATCTTCTCGTGTCCTGAGTGAGTAAAAGAATCATTAATTCCTTCCACTCAGATTTGACTTCTTTTGGCATTTTTATGGTAGAGAAAATTGTGCACTATAGTTTGTATTTGTGTGGGCAACAAGTATGTAAAAGCAGAAAAAATATACATCTAAATTATTATATACTAGTTTCATCTGTGGCTACGTATTTATAATTTTGATGTCAACATCTTAAGTAGCACGCCTATATATTTTATATGTATGAGGCATCATATGTGTGTGCGAGCTACACTAACCGCTCCTCCGTCCACAGTCGCAGCTTGCCGTGCGGCGCGTGCGTTGAGAACGTGAGGCGGTCGCTGCTGCTGCGGTGATGCTGTGAGGTTTTCTCTGGAGACAGCTGTTGCCGCAGCGACTCCAGCTCTCTTTCGTACATCATCCTTTGCTCCTCCAGGGCCGTACGCTTCTCCTCCAGATACTGCTTCTCCAACACCTGGACCACATTCTGCATGGGGTCTACATACAATTAAAAACAATTAATTGTATGTATTGCAATTAAAAACTTATTAAAAACATACACTCACTGTTGTTAGCTACACCGCTCTGTTTCAGCTGCTTGTTAACATAAATATCCAATCAATCAATCAATCACACAGCAGCAGCTCAGTGCATTTAGGCATGTAGCCATGATCAAGACAAAGAACAACTGCAATGTGAAGTTACTCAACAGAAATACAAATATTAGTTATTATCAGTATCATCACAGATTAAACTACTGTTCTACTCATGAACACTCACTGAATTAATATTCATGAGCTGCTAGAAACTGTTTTTCTTCTAAGAATAACTTCATTATTTGTGGCATTACACATGGATACTGTAAGTCAAATAGAGAAATACTTTTTTTCCCTTTATTCAGAGGATTAAACCCAGTAATACAGGAATGGTATTTTAAAAGGATGTTAGGATACAGTCAGAGTTTCTGGAATGAGCTGGCAGTTCATAAAATATGTACATGGTCCCAATCATACCATTGTTTCCAAGAGTCTTCATTATGACCTCCATCTGGGCAAACTCATAAGTGTAGTCTTGCTCAGAAGAGGCCTCGCTGGCTGTCTCAATGTCTGCCTCAACAAAGCTCTCTCTGGGAGATGCTCTCTCCAGCTCCTTCAAACGGTCCCGCCGCTTTCGTTTAGGCAGATTGATCCTGGAAAGCAGCGCAAATATCCAGTCAGTGACTTCATAGCTGTTCACACGCTTGAACGTGGCAACAAAAACAAAGGACTCATACCTGAAGAAGTGATTATTTCCCCATAAGATACGGTCTCCATGCCACAAGTGTACTAATGAATCAATCATAGTTCCATTCACACAGGTCCTGCAGAGAACATACATTTATATTTTATTGTTGAAGAATTGTATTGTAACCTTCAGGTTTTCAAGGGGAAGAAGCAGGCTAATCGAGTAGGAACAATGGTTTTTTTAGGGGGAGGGAGACATGCATCTGATATCAAAGTGAGGAGCTCAGATCATGAGATTCCTGTGCAGTGAGGTCATGTGAAACTCTGAGGTCCAGTCATCCAAGAGCGCAGATCACAGACAGAAACACAGACACTTAGTATGTTGGAATAAGTTGCACGACAGCTCACCTGGCATTCCCTACTGGCATCAGGGTGACATCACCATCTGGGCACACCTCCAGGACGCAGTGCTCTGGCTGTATCCCGATCCCAAAGAGCTGGATGTCCTGAGATGTGTCTGCACCCACACGCGTGTGCTCCTACACACAGGTGCAGGAAAGATTAGGGAAACTACATTGGCAGATCAGGATGTAATTACATCTCACCCTTCTTATCCAAATGTTCTGGCCATAACCACAAAAGGCTGCTACCTTTTATCTACTGAACTGATTTGAACTAAAGTAGTGAAAAAAACAATAAACACAAGAATACGAATTTGGGAAAATGACAACTAGACATAAAGAAAAATCAGGCCTAAGCAAAAAAACATGTGTGCCGAGGGGGCGTTGTAAAACAAACATCCTAGCTTCTAAAGGATGTCGTACCCTGCAGCGAACGAACCTATTTCACATTACCATAGTCATTCCACACTGATATGCCAGGCTGGCCTGCAGGAACTAGACAAAGGCCTGTTGTTCTGTAAGCTGTGCAGATTGCTGTCTCACATGCCTCAGCGCTCACACATCCAACTAGACGGCTGGCTGTTCCACTTCAAAGTCCAGACCTGCTCTTACTGAACTTCTCTCACTACAACATGTGTGCTTCAGTGTGTGTTTCAGGGCCTCTGTCAGTGCTAAATATTACTGCTGTGGTATGTGGCACATGAAGAGACTCACTGTGAGTGCTTAAATAGTAAACTGCAGTATTAGCGAGTGACTGAATAAGTGACTAACTGGGTCTTTGTGGCAACTAATGAAGAAGAGTACAAGGGGATCTTTTTGGCTTGTTTTCCACCATATAGGCGTTCTGGTCTTTTGCAGTCACTATGAGCAAAACGCTACAGTGATTATAATAAACATCATAGGAACATCTTGCTCTATAATTCTGAAAGTTAATTCACAGAGAATTAATAAAGGACAAGTGATTAGGTTTCACTATAGGACATAAGATGACATGAAAACACAGTAACCAGCTGTGTCCCCAGCTCTGGTCTGGGAGCATTTCATCAATGCTAACCATGATATTAGCCACATTAGCTCATTAGCTATCAAAATGCTAACACTGACATCACAAATAAAAGAACCAGTCCATTTACCAACTGTATACTTAAGTCTCACTTTAACATTAGGCACTCGATTTTCTAAACCCCCCAAAAAAAATCATACAAATATATGTCTGTAAAACTTTATTTTTTTATTAAAAATGTCCTCTTGGAACTTTAGAAATTTAAATCAGTTTAAATCTAATATTTAAAATCACTGGGATAATCACAGAAATGCAATACGGCAATGCAGTGTGAATAATCTCTATCTTTTTTTCTAAGAGACTCTTAAACTTAAGTAACAGGGCAGATCCAGGCTATGTGTTTAAACTAATTAGACTCACTGTTAAAAACAAGCTGTATGCTATATTTGCATTAAGCAAAGAAATTGTTGAGTAGTATATAATCCAGTGTGATAATATCAACAGATACTTTGGGTCTTGGTCCTCTAGCATCATATTGTAAACCTGCTGTAAAGAACCTCGGTGCTTTCATTGATTCCTTTCTGAAATTAGATTTGCAGATTAAATCTGTGCACTTTTAGCTTTTAGTTTCTTTTTTTAAACAACCTTGGCAAGGATATCCATGCTTTTATCACGCCCAGACTGGATTCCTGCAGTTTGTTTTTTATGTCAGCTTTTGCAAGGCACTATTATCATGAATGCAGTTGGTCTAAAATGCAGCTGCTCGACCCCTGACTGGTAGACAGACACATGAATGCATTTCATCTATCTTAGCATTGATTAGGATTCATCTTTAAATTTTGTTCACTTATAAGTGCTAGCATCAGCATATCTCTAACTAACTATTCGTCATGTTACAATTTTACATGCTCAGTGCAAGACCAGGTGACTCGACTGGTGACTTAACTCTAAACACCAAACTAGCTCTTACAGCTAACTGATCTTTTGCAGTTGCCTAACTCTCAGACTTAAACTTAAAAACTTATCTTGTCTTATGAACCTTTTTACTTTAGGTCTAATTTACGACTGTGTGTTTCTGTAAACACTAGAGATTGATTTTAATTATGTTAATTACATTCCTTATTGTTTTTAAATTACTGCCTCCTAATTGTTTTATTGATTTCTGTGCATCACCTCGGATAGTGCCTGTTGTGCTTAAATATGCTTTATTAAAAAAACCGGCTTGACTGAGGAGCTGAGCTTGGAAAAAAATGACATTGCAAAAACAGCATTACCTTCAGGTAGTAGACCAGCAGCTCATTTAGGGCAGGATCAGCATTCAGATTGACCAGGAAACACTTGTCTTCACCCACTTTAATCCCAGACGTTTCCAAGGAGATGCCCATGCTTTCCAACTGCTTCTGACGCTCCTGAGAACATGGATAATAACAATGTAGCTGTTCATATAAACACACTAAATTAGAGTTGAGGTTTCACAGTTTTCATGAGTAAGGAGTTTACAGTGGCAATCTCCTCTGTCTTTCTTAGCTTCTCCTCCCAGGTGACTGTCATCTCTTGGATGAGTTTCTCAGACTCCTGCAGTTTCTCCTTCAGCTCAGGAGCCTTCATGGACTGATGGGAATAAAAAAAATGTAAAAAAAGGAGAATAAATCAGAGTCAGATGTCTGGCATAATTTATTCCTAATTGAACAGCATCTGTGGTTCAACCTCTCTTCTCACCTCGGCCTGAGAGAGCTGAACTTTCAGCTTCTCCACCTCTTCCCTGAGCTCTCTGATGATCCGAGCATTGGGGTCTTCATTCACAACGGCATGGTTGACGATTCTCTTGGCCCTGTCGGCGTAACGTAGAGTGGACAAAGTCTCCTCATAATTATCAGCAGCTGGACTCACCGTGGCTATCATGGCGGTCTTGCTGTTTCCGCCAAGGTTGTCCTGAGTTTTAAAAAAATCACAAGAAGCTGTTAAAATAGACTTTCATGACAAGTTACAAAAGAACAACCCAAACAGAACGCGGGTCAAACCTTCAGTAGCCAGGTGAGCACTGAGTCTCTGTAAGGCACAAACTTGGCCTTCCCCTTTCCTGCAGACTGATCAGCCAAAGCAGAAATCACACATCCTAATGTGGTGAGAGACCTAAAAACCAAACAAAGATACATTTAACCTGATAAATGATTGGACTTTATATACAGCTCATATACAAAATAAAAATGTTCTCACTTGTTTATATTGCTTCCTTCTTTGAGTCTCTCCCCAGCAGCTCCAGTCTTCGACACACGTTCACTTCCTGCCAGGTCAACCAGACTCATTTTGCTCACTTTCTCCCCTGAATTCTGTTGACAGTCACAGTGTGCCCAGACAAATATATTTAATTAATAAACAAATGTTTGTCCTTGTGAAAAAAATGATTGTAAATGTGTGTGAAATAAGAAAAAACAAAAAGACTTACTCCAGACTGTAGATCATAGAGCGTTTGCGTGACAATGATACTGAAGACGGCGTGTGATCGGCTGCTCTCCTCATTCATGTTGGTGGCTGCAACTGTGCGAGATTTGTTCCCCTCTGACATCAACACCTCAATGTCCTAAAAAAACAAAAAAGAGGAAGTTTAGGACAGCAGAACTATTTAAAGTGTTTTTCTTGCTCAGGCTTTGAGCACATTTCGGTGGCTAAATCTTTAAAATTATAGTTGTGATAGATGTGCACATCTGGCTGTATGCCACTTCATTTAATTGGGTCACAACTGACAGAGGGCCAAAGCTGTGGGAAATCCACTGGACTAATATCAGGCAGAGCAGAGCGCAGAGGAGCAGGGCGGAGGTGTTTAAACGTAATTATGGAAGGGCCTGCCAAGGCTTGGCATACGCACTACACAAAACCCCATGACTACATCCCACATCAGGAATATGTGTCACTGGAGTCTCTGCGCTTGGGAAGGTTTTACACAGCGAGGTTATTCCAAATGTAAATCAGTGGTTTGGCGACTGAAGATACAAAGTAATTTCTTCTGGATGTTATAAATCATGTTTATGTGGCTCTGATAGAGGGTGGATATCGCCTCATTTCTGGTCGCGGCATGATGACAGACGGGTGAAAGACTCACCTCAAAGCTGGTCACAGCCAGCTGAGACAGACCGTCCACATACGGACCAAAGACTTTGTGTTCCCGAACTTTCAGGGACTGTCGGCTCCTTCAAAAAATAGAGAAGGCAACACAATGAGTAAAAGAGAACAAAGAAGCACTCTGAAGAAACTTTTATTAAATGCATACAAGCTGTAGTATGGAACTGTAACATATACATGAACATTTATAAGAATCAAAGCTTTTTCAAAGGGAATAATACGTCATTTTGATTAAGCTTATCAGCACCAAATAGATTTCCTGTGATTCACAATGCAGCAGTGCTTTAAATCTGGTGTTTGTGGTAACATTCCCACATTGGCACACCAGTAGAGATGGGTTCACAACAGGTTGAGAGCAAGGCCAAACAAAAATACACACAGGTGTGGATTTTTCTTGTTTAAGGCATACACCATGGGCAATCATCAGCAGTGTAAACTCACTGGACACTTTATTAAGAACTTGCTTGCTGGACCCCCTCTTATCTATGCTTAATGGCATAGATTCAACAATCTACCTATGATTCAACTTCAGGGATGTTCAGCCCACATTGACTTTAAATGCAGGATTTGAATCTCCCATTCCACCGCATCCCAAAGGTGCTCTACTGAATTGAGATCTGGTGACTATGGAGGTTATATGAGTAAAGTGAAGTCATGTTCACAAAACCAGTTTGAGATGATCTGAATTCTGTGTGGTCTTTTGCGTTTGTGGGCCATCTGCTTCAAGGTTTGACGTGCTGTGTGTTCAGAGATGCTCTTCTTTTGTGGCAGGCACCTCACTGTAAATTGCGCTACATTTAACACCAAAAAGCATGCCCTATGTTGCACCCAGTGTGTGTGTGATAGTTGCTAGGATGGTTTATTTATCTGGAAAGAGAAGGGGAGATGTTATCAGAACAAGTGCATAATTGGCAGGGGTGGAGAGCTTAAAGATAGGAGCTAAAACTTTGTTTCTATCCTGTTGTTCTTTACTCTGAGGACTACTCTGAGTGTTTAGAGCTGAGCCCCACATACTCCTGCTGCACAATAATACTGGTATTTTAGCGAAACACAGCTGAACTGAAATTCACAGCGCGTCACATGGAAGATCCCAACAGGAGACAGATACAAGGATAGGTCTTGTTTTCCTTTTTACAGTGAGCAGAGTGGGCTCCAGTGTTTCAGGCTTTTTAGCTATATTTCTACACAAAGACCAGTACACAATGAAAACATCTCTGCATGTCTGTTTTTAGCAGTGAGAACATGCAAGGCAAACTCTGTAGTCACTACTGCATAACATTTGTCCATTAACATGAGCGTAACAATATCTTAGGATTAAGGCTAGTCAAATTAGTATGTGCAATATTCACTTTCTTCTTCAGACACACAACCAAATCACGTCCACCCTTGACTCCTGTATAGCTCCGCACCTTTGATGGAGATGGCAACCGGTTTAATCACATTTATTATTGTAAACAGATTGCTTGGAAGATTTCAGCTTTGTCTTAGTGCCATTTTCTCACCATCTTGATACATCAGACTTGGTTTGAAGATGTCTGTCTGTCAGTGGTCTAACCCACCCCTGCTTTATACAGTACTACAGCTAACGTTTATTCCTATAACTGACAGAGTAAATTAGGATGCAAGATCAAGAGCATCTGGAGGTTACTATATACGTGACAGGAAGCTGCATCTTTTGACATCTGCAACTCACAGAGCGCTGCACTATAGTCTGTTTCTGGCGCTCGGCTCGCAGCAGCTCTGACCGCTCTCTCGCTCACGGCTTTACTACCAGATCTCCCTGAAACATCCCCATTCACAGCTCACCCTTCTTAGCAGTCTGTCTGCCAACCCACATCACACCACAGAGGCGAAGAAAGCAGCACTGTCAGAGGACGACACTGGCTGCTGTTCTGCAGGAAATAACTGGGTTGAGCTTCCTACTCACATCATTCTATCGCCATCCCCCCATCCTGGGTACTAGACACAACAGAGCTATAAAAAGAGACACAAACCAGAAGACAATGCGAGCTAACGGACAGATCACTCTCTGCTTGAGCTGGAGAGACTGAAGAGAACGAGAAAACAACTCCATAGTTTGTGAAAACAGCTGCGTCTTGTCGCCCCCAGGTCCGAAAGCTGCTTTGGTGAGCTGGAACATGTGCATTTTTAAAAGCAAACATCAAACTCACCCTTTGGGATCCAGAAGGTCACGGACTTTCTCATTGTAGATCTCCATGTAGGAAACTTCCACCTTAAAAGAATGGCCTTCGTTTGCCTCCCTGTGGACCCTCTCAAACAACGAGCAGCAGAGTCGAGGAATTAAGCCTGGCTGCTCTCCATTGCCCATCATGGAAAAGGACTTGCCTGAGCCTGGATGCACAACAGAGTCACACATAAGTTGCCAACTTCAGAAAGCGAGTTAGATAAGTGTAGTTAAGTGTAGTCTCTGCTATGGCCACAAGTACATCTGGAGAATAATTGCCATCATCATCATGTTGCAAAAAACGAACATGTAAAGAATGAGTCTCCAGCTGTGCCAGCAGCTGTGTCAGGCCACATTTGTGCTTGCACATTTGCATATACTGGGTGTACAATGGATTTCCTTTAGCATGTTAGCATGCTAACATTTGCTTATTAGCACTAAAAATTAAAGGTGATGGGAGCACGTTAAAAGTGAAACTTCTTAATTCATTTCAAATCACTTCACATCATTATTTACGATTTGTGATCCAAGTTAAACTAAGACTGTCCAGAAGTGTCGTCATCACTCATGTGCTGCTTGCAGGATGTTGCTTCAACCAGATGATTATATAGGATTTGTTTTCTTTCTGTCTTCTAACTGATGAGCGTGCAGGTGTGTCCCTCTAAGACAGGAAGCAGGAAAAAATAGCTAATGTGATTTCAGGGCGAGGGAGGAAATGAAGTCATTCAGTTACCTGTTTGTCCGTAAGCAAATATGCAGGCGTTATATCCCTGGAATGCATTTTCAAGTATCCCCTCTCCAAGGCACTTGAACACCACCTCTTGACCTTTCAGAGAAAGACACGGTCACCATGGAGATTATGGTAAACAGAGGAATAATTGTGTCACACAGGGTCAGAGGCCACGTCCTTTTAAGGATCCAGCCTCTGAGTTAATACACAGTTATACTGTATAAGCACTATGATCACACATACTGTTTGGCTGTCTTAGTACTAAAAAAAAAAAAACTCTATAAATGGAGTGACAAGGGGCACAAAGGGCCACGAAACAGTGAATAAGATTCATGAAAGGTGGCAGATTCCTGTCTGGTCATGTGGAAAATGCAGAGCTGTGTAGAGAAAACTCTTGTGCTGCTCACTGTCATGCCCCTGCTCAATGGCCCAGCTGTTTAATGAGCTAAATAAAGCCTTGGCTCGGGCCCTTGAGGCAGCCCTTAACTGAACAGATTGCCTTGTCGGTTCAGCACAAAGGAGATGTAAGCTTAACATTTCCATCGGCTAAACAAGAGATATTTGACAAACACAAAGTATCCTCAATTATTATGTAAATCCACCTCACACTGGCAGTAATAACCTCTTTTATGAAGATGTTACAGAAACTGCAGCTGAGGAGAAAGAAGAAAGCGACTTTACCGGGTTAGCCGGTGCACGGCAGTGTAACAGTGGTGGATAAATACATAAACACAATGATAAATGTGTGTGAACAACTGTGATGCCACTATAGCAGACATACGAGTCCAGACAATACAAACACAACTGCCTTGTTGATTTTAATTCATTCACTCAAAATGCCAATTTTCATATACACCTGTACTATACTCTGATTTGCATGATGCAAAAACAGCCTGCCATCATGCAGCGAGCTTCTTTGCCCTTGCAATGGTAACATAAAGCTCTGCAGCAGGTCTTTGCATGGCACATAATTTGAGCTCTCTGGTTGAGTAAAGGATTGTTTTTCTGGTTTTTTTTCTAGCCTTCACATTTGTGACTCACCGGCATATTTGGGAACGTTGGACTCATCCATGGACCAGAAACAGTGGTCAAATGCGAACACCTGCAGAGGCGACAGCACAGGGAGTGTAAACACACACTTGCCCAAGCATGTATAGTACAACATAAGCCAGTCTCTCTTAGTGGTGGTCGTCTTCTAAGGTTCACAGGATTGATGTGCAGTACCATGTAAATCAGCAGGACTGAGCTTGTCTGAGTGAGTAAGAGGAATCCTAACTGAGCATTGTTCAAAGTAATGTTAGTTAAGACCGCATCATGTCTGTCTGTACAAATTCACTCTCAGCTGTTTTGTCATAGTGGCTGGAGTTAAACGAATTCATAAATCAGGGTCAGCGCTCCCCAGAAGAAATTCCAGCACTCAGTGACCCTCATCTCCAAGGAGACAGGGGCATAGCTGTTCCACTTGGTGCGGGCTGGGTCTTAGCCCTCCAAGTCCCACAACACAGACTTCTGCAGCAGCATGCCCTTCTATCACCCAGGCACCTGCAAGTGCTCTGGATACATAACACACAGAGAGGATACTCTTTCTGGGAAAAGAGCATTAGTCAACAGCCCCTCACAGACAGAACAGCTCCTCTTACAATGTATCTGTTTATGCACTTGACTCCATATTTATCTGCTGTATCGTTCTTAAATGTATCCTTTAAGCAACTGCAATGCAAGTCACCCATTACATATTTTTGTTTGCTGTTGCAACACCTCATTTGCCTAATTTCTAGAAATGCATTACCTGTGCCAGCGCTCAATCCAGAACCATTCCCACACATTTCCAACAAAAAAACAACCCCCCCAAAAAAGACTGCAGTTGTCATGGCACCATGTACTCACTGGACCCAAGAGTTGGAAAGACTGAAATCAGCGAATATAGGAGGGGCTACAGCAGGAACTTCACTGATGTTTGGGAGATGCAGCCCACAGATACTGTATTGCCAAAGGAAATTACCCTGAGATTTGTGATAATGTAATGCTAAATAATATCATAACATTTTCTCCATCGATGGAAAAGAGGTTATTTGTGTTGATTCAAGAAAGAAGCACTAAGACAAAAAGTGTGGCCTGAACTCGGTAATGGGAGCTTTATATATGCTTCTCCCTCCATTTGCCTTAAACCTTTAAAATCAGATTAACATTTCAGTCTTGATCTGATTTTTGAAGTTTTTAGGCAGATTTTTGGTTGCTTAAGCAGTCATCTAGCTTGTATTTAGGATAAAAAGCTTAAAATTATAATCATTATATTCAGGATTTTAAAAATGCATTGCAGATTTTTTCGGATTATCGTTCATATGTTTTTTTCCACATCTGTATTATTGCAGCCTATCTTGGTCAGGACCAAAAAGTCCACATATTTTGTTCGCTTGTGTTTTTCTGATGTTAGAAGAGTAGCTGCCGTCCTGTCAATGGTACAATTCCTGGCTTTAGTGCTCTGCCAAAACACTTTTCTCTACACAAATACCCCATAATAATTGACCTTTAATCATAATAAGGGCCACTGGCCAGGGAAGCAGTGGTTGCACAGTCAGCATGGAAAGCACTGAGATCACTGAATGCTTTGAAAGCAAGACCTCCTCTTGTGACTTCAGACAAGTGAGTGGGTGCCATTCAAAGGAACAAAAGTGCCATCATTCTCAATTAAGGCTGGTTTGGTAACTAGGGCTTCAGCCTCCTTTGGCCTGTCTCTGTCGGGCCTGAGGGTGTGACTGCACCACAAATTGTTCTAGACTGGACAATTACTATTAATCAGCAGTGCAAATAATGATGCAGCTGAGGCGCACAAAGCCCTTTTTGTCATTTCTAGTATGAAAACTGTCCGAATGTGATTGGACTGCAGCGTCTGTTTCCCCAGTAAACGGCAGGGAGAATTTGAGTGGCACTATAGCTCAGCAGACAACCACGTGCTTGTCTAGCTGAAAGGTATTATAGGGTAGCTCGGGTTCACAGGCCCCAGAGACCATGCACACCCGTGGCCCGGACTAGTGCTCCCCTTGGTCCAGCCAGGGGCTGACTGTACTGAGCACAAAGCCCGTCCCTGGTGTGTGAAACACCTCTGAGCTAGTCACCAGCGTGTTGTCAAGGGGGGAAGTGGGGGTGCACTCCAACAATGCAGCTTTGAATGTGCGCACACACTGCCCCAGTGTCCGCGCTCATCCCTCTCTCATTGTAGCGCCTTTGTGGGTGTTCACGAGATCTTAGAGCGCTGACACATTCACACGGACATCTATCCGGCTCCTGCTGACCAACCAAACTACTAAAACACCCTCAGTCATGTCCCTAGAAACAGCAGTGGACTGAACTGTGCAGGATGTCTCTCAGCTCCTCGGGGGAGAAGCGCTGCTTGTCCCGCATCCTGCTACTGAATGATCTGTGAAGTCACTATAAATGGAATTCAGCTCTGTTGATGTCAGCAGGTTGTTTTGTAGAAAAAGAAACAGATAAAACATACATACCTTAGGTTGTTTCCTGGTGAGATTGAGGGGAAATAGTAGGAACCCAGCAGATGAACCAAAAACAGAGGAAAAACACAGAGAAATGAACATAGTTAGCAAACAATTTCACAGTCAGAACTTGATATCCACAGTGCTCTGAAAAAAAAGAAACGTGTAACCTCAGTTCTTTCTTTGAAATTCCTTCTTTGACTTCTTTCACTCCTTCTATCATTTTCTCACTCACTCATTCATTTCCACATTGTTGCTTTTCCTGGTGGGAGCTGGTGCTGTGATTGGGTTCATAATTGGGCCAGTGGAGTGTGAGGAAGGGAAGAGATTTAGGATTCAATGTCCCACTGACTCTGCTGAATAAATAGCTCTTATGCCTGTGGACTTAACACAGAGGCCAGCTTGGGGAAGCTGCACTGTGCATTACAAGCTCCCAGAACTAAGGACAAAAGTGTAGCATATATGGTTCTAACATATGCAGGATTATTCTCTTAATTGGACCAGTCCTCATCTTACAGTAAGGTACAGCCTCTACGGTGTGTGGTTAATTAAGACATGCATGCTCCACAATCCAGTCCTTCAAGATTCAGCAGATAACTCCTGCAGAAGTCTTCTGGCACAGACACAAAGGTGGGCATCACCTTCACACAGTAACCAATACAGAGCAGAAGCTTTGGGAAGACTGAAACACTGCACCAAAGTTTCTCACACAAACTAAGCTGAGTCACCGACAACGGCAGGGCCATGGAGTGCTCAGCATCCATTTATAAATAGCCTCTGTTTTTTTAATTTCTAAGTTTCAGAATAATAGAAAATCAAGGGGAATAGATAAAGAATTAACTGTGTTTTAGCTCTTACGACAGAAAAGTGTGGTTGAAGAACAAAAAGCAAGAGGGCCTCATCTGGGTTCATACCCTGTATCTAAATCTGGGCCACTTACAACACTGAGACTTGGTCTTAATCAAAGCACACAGAGACTGCAGCAGGCAGTTCCCCTCCACCGGCCAGTCGCTCCATACTGCAGCGCAAAGAGGGGACGCCCAGGAAGCGCTACAGTATGACATATGCAGGCTATGTGGGTCTCCAGACTAGAGGGACTACAGATAAGGTCTTCATGCATGCTAAACTGAAAGGCAAAATTTAAATTAAAAAACATGGCAGAGATATGAAGATGGAGTACTGATGAAGAACAAAAGGAGAAAATTGAGGAGGAGTGGAAAGAGAGAGCCAGAGACACACACTTGATGATGAAAAGATGAAAGACTCGCTGTTTTTGAATGAGTGCACTCCACAGCAGAATCTCCACATCTGCAGCATAAACTAAGCAGCAGTAACAGGGGCTGCTGCAGTGGTTTGGCGGCTCATGCTCACTGTGTCATCTACTGTATGTACAGTTAATGTATCCAGTTACGGTATGCTGGGAATGCTGAACAAGACAATAGGAGGAACTGTTCCTAACTGGCTATATTTAGGATTTCATAGAGTTCCTACTTCCTTGTCAAAATCTCACAAGACATTCATTTAATTCCAAACAGCTGACTTCATTTTAGCCTCCTATTCAAAACGAGTCCCTAACCTCCTACCCTAGCACAGCCAAGACCTCCTTCTCAGTAAGTTAAAACACACTATCCTCCAGTTCTCCCCCTTTGCTTTGGACATACTCTCTAACTGAAAGCGGTCTTCCCTGACATTGATCTCACAACATATGAAGTCACATTTGGATGTGTAAATACTTCTAATGATGCTTCCTACACAGAAAAAAATTTATTTTTCAGGCTATAGTTGTCAAATGTAGTAGTTTATATTACAACACTCAAGCATGAAGCCCAAAGGCAGTCTGCTAAATAATCAGCATGGATGTCAAGTTATGTCTTGAGGGCTTATTAAAGACTATGCTGTGGTTGGACAGTACAAATGTGCGACACGCATGTATGGCACAGAAGTGCCAGGTGGTATCAGGTTATTATCCCCTCAGAGGCAGATGCACTAAGCCACTGCAGCCTCAGCAGGGCATGAATGAAATCTAAAGCCCTTTTCAGACATGGCAAATATAACATTTCTGCCTTCGTCAGTTTGACTTAGTGCATTCTGTCTTTCAGATATAGTCCACTTTTGCATCATCCAGACACACCCATGGCAGTGTGCACACAATATTTGCAATCAAAGCAAAAAGACTTTTTTGCACTTGTGTCAACAAGCAGTAACTGTGGTGATGCGCAACCACACTTTTGAATATTAAGATCTCTCCACCATTAAGAGCAGGGTCTCTCCCTGCATGCATGCTGCATGGTGGTGCTGCGCAGGCTGACCGCACCCTTCACACACAGGCTTGGCAAGAGAGAGAGAGAAAATGAATCATAAAGAACTCTATTAACCTTAATGCAAACATGAGGTAGTTAGATGAAATTATTATTGTGTGCATGCTTTTGCTGTTTAGGTCACTCTCTGATGAGCCGAGCAACTCACAAAATGAGCGACAATGTGACGTGTTGTGTATTGGAGGCCAAACAATTCAAAGGCCTGACCAGCCGTTGTTGTGAGCAGGTTGCTCAATCCGACATACTGCAAAGCTGTCATCCTCATGTACCACAGCACGTGCATTAGGGACTTAAAAATCCTATCAGGATGGGTAAAGTGTGTCTCTGTGCTTCCTTTTAGGGGAACGCTTACGTTCCTGCAACTCCAGCTACCTGATGCCAAAGCACCTATGTATGACTAACTTGGCCAAAGGGAGGAAACTGGCCTCTCACACTGCTATGACTCTCCTCCTGCACGTGGTGTGAGATAGATTAGAGGAGAAAATATCCTCGTTTCTTGTTAAACGATAAGAAATATCACTTCAGCACCAGACCGTGACCAGTTTCAAAGATAGTCTGGAAAGGGTCTGACAGATTTTTGTGGCCCTTTCAGCTTAAATCCATGGGTGCGGCAAAAACGAAGGTATAAAAAGTGGGAAATCAGCACTGGAATTCCCCCCCCCCCTGTGGTTATGGAGCAAGATTAAGGCCACTGGGTTATCGTGCCACTGAAAAATGCACTCTTCTAAACCAGCAGACAACACATCAGATTAATGTACTGTATTATCCACCCACTGAAGCAGAGATCTACTCTAAAAAATTACATTCTATGCCCACAAGCTCACACAATTATTAGACAAAATAATGAGTTTTTATTGTATCATTTAATACAGTAGTTTCTAACAGTATATATACTGTACTACTTGCCATTATTTACTGAGATTCCTCAGCAGCCTTTCAAAGACTTTATGATGACATAATCCTGCTCAACAAATGGAGTATGGAAGAGGTCCCCCCATTAAGACTCCACAGCATTCATCCTCTCTGCACATACTCTCGCATACACATAACATATTTTGCTGCCACTCCCACACGCATATTCGAATTCCTCCTCTTGATCTATGGTTGAAACATCACTCCCCCATAACACACACACACACACACACACACATACAATCTTTTCACCTTAATTTAACCACACATATGACTTTTCCCCGGTCAGCTTCTGACATGCTTCAAGACAATTAGATTTCAGCAAGCTCTAGAGCCAAACACAATTTTCAGACTGTGTGTGTTTAAGTGTTAGGTTAACATTTCAAATTGCCTGCCAGTAAGTTTAGAACCAGACATGCCTGTCCCCGCTCAAAGCAGAGGTCATCTTGCTGCATAGACACCAAGCAGAGTTACAGTAGAGGGGTGCTGGGGATGGGTTCCCATGTAGCACCCAGCCTTCATGCATAACTGACCACACTGTCAAGAAAAATGAGTACAATCCCAAAATAAAACATGACAAATAACTGTTAAGAGCTTTACATGCTGGACAAAAACATTTCCAACGCAGCACTGAAGGAAGATAATTTGTTAATGAGAAAACCAGATTTAGGCTACTGAGACAACTAATTCATATCATACAAGCTCAGACTTTGTCAGCTAAATATGCAACATCTTGGTTAGTGTTGGAGCCTTTAACAGGACCGCAACTCAAATTCTCTACTGCAAACGAAAGCCTTGCATTTAAAATGCTTCCTAAGAAAAGCAGACTTATCAGCTATGTGCACATTAATGTTTTGTCATGTATGTGAAAGCAGCTTTTTGCCATTTTAGCAGCTGAGGTAAAGCGACTATTACAGTTTGACACTGTAGTGCACTGGTCCCCACAGCATAAAGTTTATAAGGTACAGACTGAAAAACTAGAGATTTTGGTCCATATTTACATGACAGCATCTCACAGATTTGTCAGCTGCACATTCACAATGCAAGTCTTTGGTTCCACCAGATCACAAAGGTGCTGTATTGCACTGAGATCTGGTGACTGTGGAAACAATATGAATAGAGTGAAGTGTCATGTTCAAGAAACTAATCTAGCATTAACAAGGTATTTTCATTTTTTTGGACCACTCTCTAAACCCTAGAAATGGTTGTGTGAGGAAAATCCCAGTAGGGCAACCGTTTCTGAAATATTCAGACCAGTCTGTCTAGCACTGGCAGCAAGGCCATATTCAATGTCACGAAGTCCCCTTCCTACCCCATTTTGATGCCCAGGTTGAACTTCAGCATGTCGTCTTGACCGTATGTATGACCCTAAATGCACAGAGCTTCTGCTGTCTGATTGGCTGATTACGTGAGGCTTTTTTGTGAAATAGTGTTACTTAAGTATTCACAGCCATTTAAATTACACCATTAAAGCTCTAAGGCCAAAAAAGGGGTGACAATTCTGTTAATGTAAACTGCAAATTGATCAGTAACACCTGCACACAGTTTTGTAAAGCAGTGATATTGACAGGTATTAAAAAATCAAAATACTGAATGCACTAAATGATCATTTTTTAAAAAGCCTAAAACAAAGGAGTCCTTGCATCATTGTTCTAAAAGCTAAAATTAGTCTGAAAATATTTGGAATGAGCGGCTGGAGAATATCATATCACTCATGAAGTCATCAACATAACTTCAGGACTTTTTCTGTATCTTGAAACTGCTGTTGCTAAGTGACGGTGGTAAACATGGAGGG